ATGAATATTTTACACGTCCGAGTTCAGAACAATGCTTTTTTTGGCTGCCTCTGCACTTTTCATGGTTGTGTACCCTTGCATTGCATAACTGAGAGAGATCCATTTACACACAGGGGGAAAGGGGACTAATGAATCTCAGCAAAGCTAACTTTACTGTGTGTGAAGAAAAGCACTCTGAAGTTTTCCAAAAAAAAAAAAAAAAAAAAGGAATATACATATATAAAATACTTGCATGGAATTAATTTAACCAGTGTGTGTGTGTGTGTACGCGTGTTTGTGTGTAACGACCACAGAGCCTCCCTCACCCAGCGCTACATCTTACTCCATGTAGCGACGTCTCTGCTGCGATGTTCTCACCTCCTTCACACCAAACCCCTCACACTCCGGTACTCACCTGGAGGTTTCCCAAGCTGCAGACATGAGGCGGCCCTGCCGCTTGCTCGGGAAATGAACTGATGGAGCTGCCTGGCAGGACTGGGATTGATCTGCCCTCGGTAACACCGTGACCCTTTCTGGCCGCTTGCAGACGTCTGCGGAGGTTGTGCCCACAACCGGTCTCTGCAGGACACCCCTGCAGCGTCTGCCCACCGCAGACCCTCGGCCTTACGGCTCCTTCCTGGCCGCGCCGGGGCTCCGGGCTGCTGCTGGGTCTGTCGGCTGTGCAGGCTGCCCTGCTGGCACCGCTCCCTTCTGCCCATGGCTGGTGAAGAAACGCCTCATTTACCCGGACAATTCGGACCTGGCCTCGCTCGCTAAGCCTGGCTGCCGGCCCGGAGCTGGGAGCTTCCACACTTCTGAACGTTTCTGAGCTTCTGGATGGACGGTCAGGCCTCTCGGTGCCCTTAGCATCGTCCTGTCCGGGGAAAAGGGGCTCATCTCCCCGCCTTCCCCTGTGCCCCTTCTGAAGAGATGGACTGGGCAGGCTCTGTCCTGCTGCCTTCAGAACAAGGTTTCCATCACCATCCTCCCTGAGACCGGCAAGGCAGGAGCGAGGGCACCTTCTACGGCAGCGCGCTCACACAGCTCGGCACGGACAGGGAACGGGAGATTTGAATAATAAAGATAATAATGATTTGTCTAGTGTATATTTGAACCCAGTCTTTGTACTGTGCAGATAATAACAGGGAGGAGCGGGGGGAAGCAAGAGCTCTTGTACAGTTCTCGAGAGCTTGCAACCAAAAACAGGCAGGGTGACAAGAACCACATTGTTTTGGGCAATCAGTGTGCATTGTCCCAGGCTGACATTACTGCATACCAATAAAACCTTTAGATGCACAGAGAACGGGGAAAGCGCAAAATGATGAATTGTTTGACATTTAAAAGAAAATAAAGAGCTGCTGCTGGATTGGAACTTAAATGAGACTTGGGGAGGGAGGGAAAAAAATTACCGGGATGGGCTGGGTTTGGCTGGGATAGAGTTAATTTTTCTTCACAGTAGCTGGTATGGGGCTGTGTTTTGGATTTGTGCTGGAGACAGTGTTGATAACACGGGGATGTTTTATTACTGCTCGGCTTGCACAGAGTCGAGGCCTCCTCTGCTCCTCACCCCACCCCACCGGGGAGCAGGCTGGGGGTGCACGAGTGGCTGGGAGGGGACACGGCCGGGACAGCCGACCCCGAGTGACCCGAGGGATGTTCCAGAGCAAGGGCGTCAGGCCCAGCACGTGACTATGAGGAAGAAGGAAGGAGGGGACACTCGGAGCGACGGCCTTTGTCTTCCCAAGTCGCCGTCACGCACGATGGAGCGGGGCTTTCCTGGGCAGGGCTGAGCACCTGCCTGCCCACGGGGAGCGGGGAATGAATTCCTGGTTTGGCTTTGCTTGCGTGTGCGCCTTTTGCTTTGCCTATCAGACTGTCTTTATCTCAACCCAGGAGTTTTCTCACTTTTACCCTCCTGATTCTCTCCCCCATCCCACCGGGGGGAGTGAGCGAGCAGCTGCGGGGGCTGAGCTGCGGGCTGGGGTTAAGCCACAACACGGGAACAGGTTGAGATTTTTATGTCTTTCCAGTGCAAACTTCTGAAATGATTTTGTGTTGCTGATCTTTTGCCCCCAGAGTCCCAGATCTTTGCACCGATGTGTGCTCTAAAGCAAGAGACAGCACTTACCCCAGATAGCTTGCAGGACAAGTAAAGGATGGAACAAAGGAAGGGTGTTTGTAAGTGGGAGCTGATGCCTAATGTGCCCAAGATTAAACTTTTCATTCCACCACTAATCACCTGTAAATCTAGGAATTAACCCAGGCCTCTTTAATCCTGCAACCGGTCCTATAGTCACCAGACTAGCGTTGCTTTCCTGAGGCTGGAGAGATCGGGTATTTACAATTTAAATCTTCTCTGTATCCACAGGACAGGTAGAGCACAGGTGGAAATACATCAGAGGGAGGATTCCTGCAATTCGTTATCTATGGCAAGAGGGCCAAGGGAGTAAAGTCCCAAATGACTAAAACCTCAGAGCTCTTCAAAGCAAAAATGGAATAGAAATTAAGTAATGAATTTCCAGCGCCCTGTGCAGTGACGGAAGCACAGGGTGACCAAGAGACTGCAGAGGCTGATATAAAGTCTAGAGTCGTGGAACACGTGCCAACTTCTGCTGTCTCGTTGTGTGTCCTTGAGCAAAGTCATGTCCAAGAGGTAAATGGAAACAGCCAGGCCAAACCAGTACCGTGGGTGCCGCATACCTGTAATAATGATTCGTTGACTGATTTTTCAGCTGGGAGGAGCTGAACCAGGTCCCTTGATGTAAAACAAGTTTGGTATCAGTGAATCCATCCTGGATTACGTCAGGCAGTTATCTCGCTCTGCGAGGGTGAAATCTCGTTAAAAGCAGACACAGAGCTCTGCTAGGTGTCACTCTCCAAACACGGTTTGTGTCTGCGTCTGGGTTTGCAGGGCTGTCACACTCTTTGCTTTGCTTTTCTCCTTCCCGATAACAACCTTGAGTTGCACTGTTCACTCAGGTTCCCTCTGCTTTCCAGCACACTGGGGTTTTTGGGTTTTTTTTTGCATTTTTATTTGCATTAGTTTATTGGAGCAGGAGTCTGAACACTTAAGTTACTGCAAATCCCCTCCTCATATGGAAGTCAGTGAGCTGTAAAATATTTAAACTGTCCACAGTTGTACCTCGTTTGTTTACACGTTTCCAGCGGGCTGCTAAAAGGTAACATACTGGAATAGGAGAAAGATCCAAGTTTGCTGATTCTGATTTCATAACGGCTCTAAAAGTGCTCTGAATCCTTGCATTAACTTGATGGAGGAACACGTATCTCAGCTTTCCCAAGCCTTGGGGCCCAAGTGGAGCCGGGAAGCTTTGTGCTTCTCTCCAGCCTCTTTGCTTTATGCTTTCACTCTGATCGTCGGGGGAAAATGAGGTGAGGCGGGTCTTGTGTATTTACGGCTGGACACGTCCACAGATCCTCCTCCACCTCCCTGCCACGTCCCCAGCAGCTGGGTCTTTCAGCCTGTTTTCTTTTCCCCCTTGCCCTGCTGAGGAAGTGCTCCAGGGCTCGGTGGGCAGCTGCACCCAGGGTGAGGTGTGCCTCTCTTCACTTCTAAGTGTCCTGTAGAAACAGAAAAGACTCTTGTGATCCTTCAAAGGGCAGCGAGAGGAGGTGATAGATGACTGATCAGTCCCAAGGCAGCAGAGGGCATCAATGAGTTTGAAGATTCATCTCCGGAGCTGAATGAAAATAGCCAGACACTGTATGAACAATTAACAAGACGGATTTCCATGTTGGTCTTGAATAAATTCACGAAGTGCTCAGGTATATCTTGAGGGGTTTGGTTTGGTTTGGTTTGGTTTTTTAATATTTTTTGAACAATATCTAAATCACAGCGCTACTCACCTTCACAACTTACGATGACATCTCTGCTGCCCGACTGGATGCAGTGCACGTATTTCCAGGTGCTGGATAAACAGGATCTCTCCAAATGCATAATTTTCAAAGTTGTTTATTTGAATGCAGATTTCGCTGCTGAAAAATCCACTCCTTTGTTATGAATTTCATCGTTCGCTTTGGAAATCCAATCGGGTAGCCGTGCTGTTTACGTTAGTTAAGCTTATTTGGTGGAATTGTTGATAAAAATTGAGCTTGGCGAGGCAGATTTGCTTAGTAATTTAAGCAAATATTCGCAGGATTATTTTGCCACTTTCTTTAGCTCTCGGTGGTCAGGTAGAGCAACAACACTTTCTCCTAATAAATTCAGCTTTTCCCAAAAGAGAATCGGTGGCAGCTAGGGACCAGTGCCTCCACCTTCTCTTCGATGCCTGACATCAAACCATTTGTTCAGGAGTCCTCTGAAAAGAAACCCAAACCTTGTGTGCTCTCTGATTAGGTTTCTAATTTTAATTAACATTATATCCTCTAAATGTAGTCTCTCATAGTCCTTATGCTAGAATATTAGTGAAATCCCACAGACAGTCCAACGGAAGCAATGTTTTAGGTGATGTGACACAAAAAAAAAAAAAAAAAAATCACATGGCAAGGCCGCTGATAGCACAGAGATATTCCAGGTCCCAGAGCTCTGCTTTAACGGCCAGATCAACTTATTTTCAACGAATGTAGAAGTTCTGTCCCCTCTGAGGTCCTCCGGGGCTGCTACAGGAGATCTCCAGCGCTATGATTGAAGGGCCAGCAGCACCCTTGAGTTCTCCATCTTGCCACTCTCTGGAAGTTTATGGTCAATGGCAAGGAGCCAGCCCCCACGGGCACGGGATGGAGGTGGCTTGTTCTCAAGTGTTTAAAAGTCTGACAAACTGTTTGCAGTCCTAGCAGGGATCAACACGTTTCTAGCATTAAAACCAACATCTTGGATAGCAAAAATGCTCTGAACAAGGACTCTTTCTTCAGCCCAATGCACAAGGGACCCTTCTTTAGTAAGCTATAAAATCACTTACTATAAATCAATTATTTTTGTACTGATTTATTAACTGCTCTCCAGCTGTTCAGATCGGCACTTAAAAAAAAAAAAAAAAAAAAAATTCCTGGTCCTACTGGAATTTTCAAAAGCATTTTCTCTGGAGTACTGTTGGTCCAGCCTCGTTATAGTCTTCCCTGGTAACATTCCTAAAGGTTCTTAAGCTGTCAAGGATGGAAGCACCGACCCACACGGAGTAGTGGCGAGTTGACCTTGACATGAGTTGTGTTGGGAACTCCTGTCTGGAGCTCCTTCAGGAGCCTCTCCTTGAAACCTCGGAAAAGAGTCAATCCACCCAATAACAGCACTTCCTTAGGATGTTGCACGGGATACGCTGACGACACTTGACGATGCTCTGGAAGACCGTCCTCCCGACCTTGGGATTTCTGCCTCTGCGGGCACGTAAAGCGCTGCAGGAGCTTGGAACGGCTGGTCTCCTGCCTTGACAGCCCTTCCGTCAGAGAGAATGCACTTGCATGTAAGTTTTTCAGGCTTTCCCTGCATATTTTGGCTAGGATTTAAAGCAACGTAGCACAGCTTGTCCCTCATATCCCTGACAATTTCTCTCTCTGCTGTGCTTACGGAGTGCCCGGTCTCCCAGAGGAGCCTAGCAAGCTATCTGGTTACACCTCTGCTGCAAAATCCAGCCTGGTAATGCCATGACAGAGGTAATGGCCTTTGTAGACGGGGACCACGATGGTGACACCATCCCGCCACCCAGCGCTAGCCCAGCTGTGCAGGTGCAGGCATAGAGGGCTGTTAACGCCCGCAGGGCCACGGAAAGGGCGGGCACCTGGCAGCTTTCAAAAATCATCTCAGTCATTTTTTCTCAGTGGGTCAAAGGATTGAGAGGGGTCTGGGTCAGCAGTGCTTGGCTTCTCACTCGGTTTTGAGTTCATGATCGTAGAGGTATCTCCAGATCTTCCCCATGTTGTCCCAGGATGGAACTACCCCATTTTCCATTGGGTAAGCAAAAGACAAAACGCCCCTTTTTGGGCTGGGCTTCTTCCCCTGTATAGCAGCCCTTACGACTCACCCCAGGCTTGACAAGTTTGAATTTGGGGTATCCCACAACAGTAGAAATAACTGAATGGGGTGCCTGTTCCCCCGAAAGACCAGCCTTGCACCATCCAATGTCAAAAATCACGGTGCGATGTCAAAAATCACTCCCCTGTGGAGTCAGAGCTCCCAGGCAGGACGGTGCTGGCTGTCCCTGGCAGTGGCTGCTGGCACAGAGCATCGGCAGAACGTTCTAGATGCCCCAGTCCCAAAAAGGCACCACTCAACCCTCCGCAGCAGCGCCGGCAGCGCTGCCTCCCCCAGGGAGCCAGCAGCGTGGAGCATTTTGATTCAGGACTAGTACTTGGAAGTGAAACTGGGTGTTCTTACTTCCCAGATAAATTACAGCAGAGAATCAATGGATTTTTTCAGACCCTCAGGCACAGAGGAGGGTCGGTTACAGTAATTGCATTTGCATTGATTTATATCTGAACTCTGTTTGTGGTTTTGCTGGGTTTCTAAAGGAAACATTTTTAATGAGGTCAAAAATAACACGAGAGTTGGTTTTAGAACACAAACCCCTGATATCTCAAAGACCTCGGAGGGAAGAATCTCCCAGCAGAGGAGGTATGCTGCTGCTCCCGTACGGCTCCGAGGCAGTGAAGGAGTTGGTGCATCCCCGTGGTACGGGCACACCTGTAAACTCCGCGGAGGGGAAGGCAGATGATTAACAATAAGATCTTCGTTACCTGAGTTTTCTTTTCACACAGGTTTTGTCAGCCAGGCAACCGTAGCACTTTTTAGGTCAGTCAGCTCCCGGCAGGGTTTCTGTCTCGTGTGTTGTTGTAGGAACCATTCACCTGCTCTGACGTTCTCCTTAAAAGTCTTTCTGTTGAATGACTTCTCTGCCCCAAAAATCCTTGTAATTGCTCGCGGTTGACCCACACTTGTTTGAAAGACATCAGGCAGGTGAGGATGGAGGCCCCAGCCCGCACACAGCAGTTTCTCTCGGGGGTTGCGATGATCCCCACAAACACGCCAGCAGGCACTTGCAGCTTCACCTCCTGCAGGATCTGCTCCTCCAGGCCAGGGAAGATCATGGACCCACCCAAGAGCAGGATGTTGCTGTAAAGAATCCTGCGCATGTTGACGTCACGCTTCACCGTGCTGCCGAAGATCAATTCTGTGCACACCAGGAGCTTCAACTCCAGTGTCTGCAGGCGCAAAGAGGGACTCCGATGCACAAAAGAGCTGGTTGCCTATCTGGATGATATTGTCGCCAGGCGATCTGTGTTCTTTCACGACTTTGCGTTCATTTCTTGGATGGGGTGTAAAGCTACGTAGCACAACTTCTCTTTGACATCTCTCACGTTTTCCCTTTCAGCTAACAGAAGTGTGTCCACTCTCCAAAAGAAGCTTCATGAAATATTCGGTGATATCCCGGCCAGCATGGGGGCAACAGTATCTTCATACCCGGGGGAAACACCGTCCCCTCTGTCCATGGCTGCTCCAGTAACAGGGGCTGAGGCACGGCGTGACAGAGTTGCCTGGACTGCAACGTGCACGGTTGGACCATGAAGCCTCCCAACACGACCCACAGACCGTGAATGTATCCCTGTAATGAGCCTAAGAGCTTTTTTTATTTTTTTTTTCTCAGAATATAAAATCATATATTGCAAAATACATGCATGACAATTACGTTTTTCACACATGCCTCTGGCTTAGCTAAGACTCAACAAATGTTTCCAAGAGTTGGTGAAGATTAGGACAATTTTGCCTCCTAAGTATTAACCGACTTACCAGTTTGCTTTGCTGAATAATGTCTGCACTGGAAGCAGGCTTGCTTCAGCTGAATCCTTTCTGATCCTTTCCAGGAAACCCCTAAAAATATTTTTAAACAGCTCAAACTATGTTTGGCACTGATTATGGTATCATGGAATATTTCCCCCCTGTCCTCGTTACCTCATTTAAAGGCTTTTTTTTTTTTTTTTTTTTTTTTGGTAAAATCACAGAAGTGAAATAATAATTTCTACCTCTTGCCGGTTTAAAAAGCCCTGACAGTTTTAAACAATGCTTACAATACCTCGTAGCGCACAGACCTTCCTTCCCCTAATGAATCTATATCCTGGGCTGCTGACAAGCTGATCTGCCTGCAAACAAACAGACATGCAGATGTCTTCTTTCCACGCTTCCCCCCTTCCATTCAGCACTTTGTTGAGAAGAACACACTTTTATTTTTTTGGAAGTTTGTTCAGAAGGATTAAAAATATCCTCGATCTTCACAACTAATCCCCATTTCACATCTAATTGTCGGGTGGTTTTTTTTTTTTTTTAATTTTGCTTCAATAAAAGATTTCCCAAAGGAGGAAATTTCTATAGCTTTGAATTTAATCAGATCTGATAATCCAAATCCACTTACAGAGAAAAATTTCCTTTAAAAAAGAAAAAAAAAATCACTATATAACTTCAGTTTGAATCCTTGGCTGCCAGAGTTTAATTGCTTCTCCTTGTGGCTCTAAATCCAGGGCAGCTTCAAAGCAAGGGTGGCTTCTATTAAATTTAATTACTTTTTCCTGCAGCTTGCATGGCAAAGGTGCCAGCTACTAAATGAAGGTGGTTATGAATCAGAGGCAGATTCCAAACAAAGATATATATTAAAAAGAAATTTTAAGTGTAAGCAAATGACCTCCTTGCACAGAGACGTTTATACCCCAGATGAACTACTGAAAAAAAAAAAAAAAAAAAAAAGCCATCTAACAAGGGATCAGCTCTGTGTATGTTATTTCCATTCTGCTTAGATTCCAGACATGTTTGTGTTAAACGCCACTCTATCCATTTTCAGCAATTTCTCTAATCCTCTTAATATTTGTGTACATATATTTCAGTGTGTGGCACACTTGTTTTCATGCACGCTTCTATATTCATGTCAACAGGTGTCCTAATCATTTAAGAGGTTGTTATATGCATCACACTAGAAGCCCCATTTAATCCTGCGTGGTCTGCAGGCAGCTTACAGCGCAGGGCTCCGTTTTGAACATGATGTCGAGTATTAAAACAAGGGAATATTGCCTGTGATTATTAAATGGCGGTTTAACCTAGACGCTGGAAAACTCATCTGTTCCCTCAGATTGGTTCTGTCATAAATCGCCTTAAAAAGGGCAGGTGTCAATGCACTTTGTTATTATAGGGTTTGCAATAAGTGAAATTACTGTTTGCGTTTAGCCCAAGTACTGCAAATGGAACTCATAGATGAGATAATATGAGACATCAGGAATTTCCCGTGCTCCCCCGGCAGCACAGCTCACACTGGTACGACAAGATCTCCTCCAGGGATGGAAAGACAGCTCATTCTCCGAGCACCTGCCTGTCCTTGGCCTTCGCCGTTTGCCGGGGGCTGCCAGCTGGGGAGAGACACAAAAGGAACTGGACCGCGACGAGCGAATCCGTTCCCCACGCGCCGCTGACGTCTCGACGAGACGGTGTCTGCTGCTTGTCGCCTCTTCATGGGACGGAATGCGAACTGGGAACTGAGAGCGCACTGGAAACACAGGAATAACGTGATTCCCACACGATACCAAGCGCAAATGAGCTCTGTCCCACAGACATCGGATTGCAACGATTCATACGTAGTTAAAGGTGCTGTTCACACGCCAGCCTTGCGTTACGTCAGTGCTGAGCCCACGTTTTCACCCACCTGTGTCTTTTTTCTTTACCGACCACTCTGCCTTCGCAGAGCCATCCCCCCCCAGGGTGCCAGGGCTTGTCCTTTCTCCACAGCCACCCTCTGCCCAAGCACTGCCGGAGACACACACATCCCTCAGGAGAGGTTCTGCGTGAATCGGGCCAGACTGGAAAGCACCTGGTAGAGGGCGATGAGCTTTGGAAGGTCTGAGTTTACCTGGGTAAAAACAGAGGGAAGAGGATGCTCTAACTCTTAGGCTCTATACCCACAGAAACCCAAGGGCCTGACTAAGGTGTAAAACCTGCACCAGCAGGGGTAAGTGTCCTTCCACACCCCGACAGCCAAAGAGAGCCAAGCAGGACCAGAGACTGAGGGAGAGATGCTTCTCTCCATGCCTCCCTACACCAGATTATGTTGGTATCTCCCCTGTTTTTTCCTTTGCATTTATGTGTGTCCCGTTATCGGCTGACTGTTTTCTGGGTGTGACCTCATTCCGAGCAGGCACAGTGCAGGCGATGGATTTACATCACATCAGACACAGGTGACAACCCAGAAACAATGATGCTTCATCAGAGAATCCCTTAACGAAACCCACGGAACCATGATTTTTTTGTTGTTGTTTCACAGAAAAAGAGAACAATTGCAAAGAATTTGTTCATCCCCCCAAACTCATTCCACTCTGAGTCTTTCTCAGTTTCCTACGGGCAACTGATATTGCTGGCTGGCACAGTTATTAGGGAATCTCAGACATGTGGCTCCAACCTTTATCCTTCAAAAACTTGACAGGGACTTGATGAATTGGCATTTATGTCTCCATAAAATAACTTAGCTTTCTTAGTCGATATACCCGTCACCTTATTGTGGCACATCTCTCCTCCATCTCTGTTTACACCCCCCCCCCTAAAATGCTGATTTATTCTTAGCTTATGGTTTCCTCATTGCGTGATTTGGATG